CCCCACTTTCCTTGTCTCCTGCAGCTTTAAAGCAGCGTCAAGATGGAGGGACATTCAAAGGGTCAGCCTACTCGGGGTATCCCCACTTTCTGATGCTCCAGGACCCCTACCTGCCTAATGGATCCCTTTCTCCATCTGTAAGTTCTAAGCATCTTATGCACGTTGCAAGAATCGTACGTCCACCCGTCTAATTCTTTCAGGCTCATTTTCTTTAGGAAGTGGGAAGGGAGAATCAGTGTTCTTTAGCAGGAAACGAAAGCTCATCATTAGCTCACTGAAAAGTTAAATTCAAGCTTTGGGTTGTGGGTTTCAGGGGGTCTTCCCTGAGTGTCCGGAATCTGGGATTTAAACTATTGTTTAACACCTGGCTCAGATTCACGGAGTCTGCCTCTCCCAGTTAGAGGTGTATTTCAACACACTTCACGTCAGTCAAAACAAAATAAAATGCATCGCCTGTGTTTGCCGCCTTGTTCCTGGTGAAAGGTAGTCATCGCAGTGTTTGTTTTTGCTGCTGTATGGTGTCAGTAAACAAACGCTAGAGGTTTGTCACTGTCAAGTTGTCCACCCGTAGCTTTAGTGTCTGGGGTGGATTGAGGGAAGGAAGTGACGATCTCAGCTCGTCCTGTATCCCTCATAACATTTTTTTTAAAAAGTTAAAGAAACTGTCACAATGGTTTCGATTTTCTGAAACGTTTAACAACATTGCTGAGCTCCGTACTGGAACAGGCTGTCGGGGGACTAGCGATAGAATAAACGAAGTGTAATTCAGAGAAAACTCCGCAATAGCTTTACAATAATCCTATGTTCTTAGCTGGAAATTTGAAACATAAATATCATGGTCTGTACTATCAGTCTCCCTTATTTCCATCTTTCCTTTCCTGGCGAAGAGTAAAACCTATTCATCGTAGCTAAAAATGGAATGGTGTTTCGTTTGAGTATATTGTTAGCATTGAGACTTCCCAAAAAAATGTTTCCTAATATCTAACATCGATGGCATTTAAATACGGTTCAAAAGTAGAGAATGGTACATTTTTGAAATGATATCCAGCACCTTTCAAAAAAAAAATCTACACCAGTCTATGGCACAGAAAGTGTGCAGAGAAATCACCTCCACCCAGTTGAGACTGTGGTGTTGAAATATATTTGAAGTGCCTGAAAATAAGTTGTATTTCAAAGCAATATCCCACTAAACCTACTTTAAATCAAGGACTCAACACGTCCCTGAGTAATGTTCTAAAATTCAACTCCAGATAAAAATAATTGGGAAGTGCCAAGAATGTCATTTTCAGAAAATAAAACTTTCTTGATAATAAATGGGTGCTTCAAATAAAAACTTATTCCACAAATATGCATACGTGATCACAAAATTAGACGAGGCTACTATTACTATGTTGAATTGGAAAGTGTCAGAGAACCCAATCTTAATTTTTGCCCACACTCTCATCAAGCTGATTGAAAAGATTGTGAAGTCTGTACACAACTATTTTGTTCCATAAACTTACACAAACGAACAGGTACCATGCAACCAGCAGCTGCCAGTCAGTTTTCCCTTTTAATAACAAAAACCTTTGCTTATCTGATATCAGATAAATGTCCGGTTGAACATTTCCATCCAGAGCTCAAACATCCACAATATGCTGTGTGCTGTTGTGCTTCATATTGTTGCGCAATGTGGTTTGAGTGGTCGTTTTTTTTCTCTCTCTACAGTGGAGCTAAATGGAAATCTTTTCAGTAAACATAGATTTGCTTGAGGGCTCGTGAAGCAGTGAGCAGGTGGGGGTTGGGGTGGGAGGAGTGGGCTTGAGGGTGGGTATGGTATCAAATGAGACACTGGCTTTCTTGTTAGCTTAGTAATACAACACAGGCACTATTGGAAAAAAATAGCATTGTTGTTTAATAACCACTTACAACCGCAGAGTTCCTGTGAATTAGGCATCTTGCTCATTTCTCATTGATAGACTGGCAAATGTCAGAAATCTCATTCATAAGGTTGATCACTGTCATTGATCCTTTTCAGAATCGAATAGTTAAACAGAAAAACTTGACTTTACTTTGCCTTATTGTGTTTTGGTAAATATTTTGGTTTGAATTGTGAACATAAACGCTGGTGACTCAAGTGTGGGACTTTGTTTTCAGATGAATACTGAACTTGATCAAATGAAAGATCTGGGTATTTTTTTGTAGGTACAGGCAGTTTGATATTTGATGTTGCAGTTGTGTACAATTCATTTAATTGCCTCACACCATCAGATTCATTAGCTTTACAAAGGTTGTTTCTATGAAACCAGCAGAAATTCAACTAAAATGCCACTACGGTATTAGGTTAAAGGGAAAAAATGATGTTAAAAAATTGTGCAACTTTTTGATCTTTAATGCATCAAGTTCCAACAATGATTTGTCTCTGGGCTGTGATTATACTGCTGGAGCTGATAATAAGACAAGTAAGAATGGTAGTGTTGCCTGCTTGTATCTTGGAAATTTTACCAGATAACGTGGTCATGCCAATCTTTAAATTCTCAGGTTAGATTTGGAAAGGAACCTGATTTTGGATCCAGCTTTTAGTTCCCTGCCAAGTTTGAATGGAATGAATGCCACTTCAAATATAAACCTTGGGGGAAAAAACTGAAAGAGTTAGCTATTACAGTTTGCTGCATTAACACGCTGTTGTAGTTGAAAACTTTTTTTAAAAATAAAAACGTCCCTCTGAGGTACTCTACAATTCCCTGAGAATGTTGACCATTTAAGGACATTTGATAGTGAGACTGCCTCAATGTAGTATTTAGATGATGGGAAATACCTTTTGACATAGAAAAAACGCTCAGCTCACCTATCTGTCCAGGAAATATATAACATGATTATTCCACCTTTTTGAAAATCCAGGTTGAAAATTTAAGTTATATTGAGTGAATATTGTTGAATTGTATTTCAATCCTGCTGTGTGTTTTTATATAGATTGGTAATTCATTCACCAATCAACAGTTGCTGTCAGACAAAAGAAAGAAAAGGAATTATCACACCCTTGGGTCTTAGATATTACTTTACTTCACTACAACATTTATTAAGTGTTGTTATACTTGAGGTGGTGTGTGTGTGGGTTGGAGCAGTTAGCTCAGTTATCTAGATGGCTAGTGTGTGGTTGAAGAATAACAGCAACAGAATGAGTTCAGTTTTACTGCGGTCCTGCTTGCTGACCCTGCTCTTAAGAGTAGAAGGCAGTGTCAAATTGACAATTGACGAAAACTGCCAAGAATGAAGCATCTGCAGACAATGAGCCAAGGAACAACCTTCAGGCATGGTTTGAATGATTGAATACACCGAGGTACACTATACAGCATTTCCCCCTACAAAAGTTTTAGTCATTTTGTTTAAGATACATTAAACCTAATTTCTAATGGACGTGAGCTTCCAGCATAAATAGGTCGGGTATATTTGTACAAATTGGCGCTAAATCGTCAGTATCACGGAATCAATGAGTGTTGTGATGGAATTATTTATTTGATCCAGTGGAAGTTATTTTATTATGTTTGAAGTAAAGGCCTTTTGTTGGTGGAAAGCAGTGAAATACCTGGCTTGGGAATGCGTGATGTTTTGTGAAAATGGCCAAAAACAATTTTTAAAAACTCATTTATTTACAGCTCTGAAATGTTTTTTACCAACCAGCTTAATGTCCCTTCATTTTATCTGTTAAAGATTTCATAAGTAAACAGTGTTCTTATACAAATGAGTTGTTAATAGTCAGTGATTTTGTTCCCTGCATAAATGTGTCTTGTCCTGCTTGTCACCTCACAATGAGGGCAGATAGATCCTACTCCCTGATGGTTAGATTCGGCAATTAAGTCAATAGACAGAGATATATATATGAACAATCCAAATTGGTTAGTCAATGGCTTTTATTGAATACCACACCCCTTTTCTCCCATCCTCACATCTCAGTGTGTGTGCGTGCGTACACACACACACACACACACACACTAGTAGGGATGCATCTTCTTGGTTTTGTTCAGCACCACTCCAAATCCTTCCTGTCACCAACATGGAGAACTCATCACACTGGCCAGGTAAGCAGAGCAAAGTGGGGGGAAGTGGGCAAAGATTGTAACAGGTTAGTTTTGTCTGAAATAGGAGAGGCGTGTAATCTGTAGATCAACACTGGTCACAGTTTTTCATTCCCAATGCAAGACAAGCTATATTTCAGTAGTGATGGTTGAATCTGAGTAAGAAAGAGAGGATATCATGATAATTCACTAGTAAATTGAACATTTTCCTCTCAGTTAGGACAAGGTGAAAAAATCTTTTTTGTAGCTTCAAATGACAAATCCTACAGTTTGAATCTATAGAGGTCATATTTGAAGCAATTGAAATTTCCTGTCCGGATTGATGAACATAACACAACACTTTCTTATACGCAAGGCCCCATTAGTCTCCTGCCTCCCATTATTATACCACACATGCTTTTTTAAAGGAGTTTGAAATATCTGAATAATATTAGAAATATCATTATTAAACATGATTTAAATTTAATGCAGTTATTTAAGACAATTATTTATTGTGGTCAACACATCAAAATCTGAAACCCTCTCTGTTTTTGAGGGAAAGGGAACAGCAGTGAAACAACTTGCATTTATGTCGCGCATTTAATGGAAAAAACTGTCCCATGGTACCTCAGACTTCTGACGAGGCCAAGTCTGCCCAAATTACAGTGATAATTTACAAAGCTTTTTTATTTTGGAAAAAGATCATAAAACAAACTTAAGATATGTAGATTGTGGATTGTTGGAAGGAATAAGGATGTTTGTGGAGCCGCAGTGTGAAATCAATAATGTTGAAAATGCCTGCCAGTAGCTCAAATTGGGTTTTGAGCCTTATCTCCATATTCATGGCCAGCTTTGGACGTCTGTTGGGTGTCCAAGCTGGCTGATTTGTCCAGGCTTCCTAAAAATCAACAGCTTGGATAGGGAGATGGCCCATAGGGACGTCTTGTTGGGAAGATGAATGGCAAAGTGGATTGGGCACTGGTCAGCAGCAGTCTGCAGTGTTAATGTGGAGGCAGAAGCAGTGCTCCTCCTGACTCCACAACAACATAATTAGATAACTTTACTCACCTTTAGCTGTCCCTTTAAAGGCTGGTGGATACAGC